CCATGCATGCTTACGGGCTTCCAACGTTCTAAGATTTTAACTTTCTCTCTTAAGGTGGGCTGCTATCTCTTTTCAGAAGAGCTCAGGATTCATAACCGTATCTTAAACGACTGCTCTTCTCTTCAACAGCACCGAAAACCTTGGGGGAAACACATGTTCCTGTTTCCACACGATTCCCTTATTATTACGCAGTCAATGCCAAGAGTGTTACTTTCCATTAATATCAGCTCTCCCTGAAAATCAACGTGTCACCTCAGCGGGTTAAACCCGGAGCAGACCAGGAAAGTGTTGTTTGAAAACAAATATGCCCACTTGCGTTCCCATCACCATCATTTTAGCACAATTTCTAAAACTGTGATTTTTAGGCCATTTGCAGTGTTCCCTTATTACACAGAAAGTGTCTTTTAACGGCTTTACTTTTTAACAGATGCTAACTTGTGTGAAACGGGCTGCCGTAAAATGTACCTGCATTAAAGAAGTGTCCATCTATCAACGTAGACTCTGGTAAAGGATTTGAAGTGTTTGATGAATTGTTTCCATTAAGCTGAAAATACCCCTTCGGGTGTGAGCCTGTAATTCATGAGTGGCTGTAAACTGATTCAAATAATAACGAGGAATTTTTTTCTTTTTTTTTTTTTAACCCTGTTCTGATAATAATCTAGTGGAGAACAAACATGCTGAATCCCTAAAGAAGATATTCTCTAATGATTTCTACAATTGTCCTAAAGTCCAAACAAAGCTGTCGTGTTATGATGTGGTTTTTGTAAGGCTATCGTTCTGGCCGGCTTTTATATTCCTATTTTAACAAAGAAAGTGTGATATTTGACTGACATCTGGGTAGATGGATAGTAATCAGAACTGTAGTCCGTGGAGAAATTAAGAGAGAAACCAGGAGCTGATAAAAACTGAAATCGGGGGGAAAAAAAATGCAGACGCATTTAAAGTTTTACATTTCTCTATTTTGGAAAAGCACCAGGCAGCACATAATAAATGAGAAGGAATCTTGATGAAAAGCCCTGTTTATCACCAGAGCAGACGATAGACACTGATATCTCCTTTTCTTCATGATAATGTTCACGGGATGCTGTCTCGGGTTCATTTAGGTTAATCATGTCACCTGACACAAGGTAATCTTACCTATCACAGCAAGAGTCCTAAAGTCTCGTGAAATGTTTCTCTTTATTGTAACTCTAGTAGGGAAAGCTGCATCCCCAGAGCTCAGACAGGAATAAGGCAACCTGGCCTGTAAATACAATCTTATCCACTACCTTCAGTTCACTGCATCCTTCCAATGAAATCCAGTATGTATTCATTTAACGAGTGTGTAATACATGCCAGCGACTGGGCTACTCACTGGGAATGAGGGTTAGGTAATGCACGTAGCAAAGCACGGATAAGTGACTACTGTGTACCAGCACAGGGACCCTGCCTGTCCACACGAAGCTGATGAGCTCACTCCAGGACCTGAGCAGGGTGACAGCAGAGGGACCAGAGGAAATCCTCAAAGACCACTCTTTTCCCCTTTACCAGTGCCTCGGTCAGCTAAACTGTCAAAAGAGGAAGCGGAGACCTTGCCTTCCTCGAAGCCTTTCGGGCTCTGTCTAAACTCTTTCAGGGGTATTTTGTGGTTCAGGCTCCAATTCTGAAACATAACTGCAGCTGGTTATTGAAAAATGAAAATCAGTCACATGTTCGGCATGAAAACGCACCATTCTTTTCTGAGTCAGCAAAAAGTTGGAAATACATACATTTAAAGTAACTTTTTTAAAATTACAATAGGAAAATATGCTCACTGGAAAAAAAAAAAATCCAAACAACTGGGGAGGAAATAAAGACATAAGTAAAAATATCCGCTTTCCCCAAGCCTTCTATGTTTATAAACTTCTTTTACTGCTTAAGGTCTATGCTTCTAGACTTTCGCTATCCCTCTGTAACCCCACTGAATCCACTGCGTTTTCAACGACTTGAAGTCAGAGAACTGTATTCATTTCAAGCTAAGTAGAGCAGATTATGATTTACCGAGCACTGCATGTGTGCAGGCCTCTCGGTGCTTTGTTTACGTACTCCATAACCATATTACACTACAGGGCTTGGAGCACTGGCCCTCAGGCCAAACCAAGTCCCCCTCCTATTTCGGTGAATAAAGTTTTACTGGAACACAGCCACATTTATTTGTGTACACGTGTTCTAGGGCTGCTTCTGTGCAGTGAGCCTGCAAAGCCTAAAATATTGTCTACCTGGCCTTTTTCAGAAAAAGTTTACTGACCCTTGAGACAGTAGAAAACTTTACACATCCATGGCTGTATTGTTAATTATATATGCAGTTCAAAGAGAATTCTATATGAATATGAATAAAACGGATGAACCACAGCACCATGTAACATCCCCCAAATTAAAACAATTTCCACTTTGCATGCAAACACAAGAGTCTAAAGGGATTTCTTTACGAAATTAAGTTATTTGTAGTGAGGTGGATGGACCTAGAGTCTGTCATACAGAGTGAAGTCAGAAAGAGAAAAACAAATACCGTACGCTCACACATATATATGCAATCTAAAGAAGAAGAAGAAAAAAAAAAGGTTCTGAAGAACCTAGGGGCAAGACAGGAATAAAGACGCAGACGTAAAGAATGGACTTGAGGACACGGAGAGGCAGAAGGGTAAGCTGGGACGAAGTGAGAGAGAGGCATGGACATATATACACTACCAAACGTAAAATAGATAGCTGGTGGGAAGCAGCCGCACAGCACAGGGAGATCAGCTCGGTGCTTTGGGACCACCTAGAGGGGGTGGGATAGGGAGGGTGGGAGGGAGACGCAAGAGGGAGGAGATATGGGGATATATGTATACGTATAGCTGATTCACTTTGTTATACAGCAGAAACAAACACAACATTGTAAAGCAATTATACTCTAATGTGTTAAAAAAATAAACAAAAGGGATTTCTTTAAAAAAAAAAAAAGAGTTCGCAAACACTTCATGACATTTTTGCAACAATATTTACCCTATTATTTTCTAAGAATATATGTTTTTGGAGATTCGAGAAATGTGGCAGACACTGCTAGCTGATGATCGTATCTGCCGCTTCTTTGACCAGGGCAGTTAGACTACATTTCTCAGCTTCCTTTGGAGGGAGCACAGTCATACAACTGAGTTCTGGACACATGGATGTGAGCAGAGCTGAAATTCTCCACTTCCAGACCTGGTCCATAAAATCCTCCCTGCTACTGCCACCTCTGACTGGCTGACACAGAGAGAACCTCCTTAGTACACGTGGGAACCACATAATAAAGATGGCAGAGCCACAAGATGGAAAGAACCTGGGCCCCTAAATCAATACTTGGGGGAGAGCCACCCAAAAGAGGTATCTGTTACATGAGCAAGAAAAAAATGTGCATCAAGTCTTTGAGATGTGGGGGATTATTTATTATTTTTCTTAATGAGAGTTCACTGGATTTGTGGAGCTCACTGTTGACAGATGGCTTCGGGATGGAGGAAGGACATAGAAATCCCTTCTCTGGAGAGGGTCATTCAATAGCTTCTCCTTGAAATCAAAGGACTAGAGACTCCTTTCAGACCTCTGTCTCACTGGCGCTCAATCTCAATGAGTAAGTGGTAACTACAACTCCCACCCAAGCCTTGGTCTGTCTTTATTCCGAGTTCTCTACTCTAGCAATAACTGTGCCCTTAGGGACCACCTCCATCTCTCTCCTGCCAGCATCATATTCACCACGTTTCCTGGTCAAACCTTTTCCTCTCTGCCACATGGTATTGGGTTCCATGTAACTTAAGATGGCAGCCGGTAACAATTTTTAAGCTTATCAACTAGGATACTTTCTCACCTACTGACTCCTATGTCTTGAGAGAAGATTAAAGCACCATTCTGCCATCAGCAAGGAAGCAATGTAGATAAATTCCATGCCATTTATAATTCATTCCACCTTCATTAAGTATTCATACACTACTTATTGGCACATCACCTAAGTATTCTATGTAAGAGAAAACAGAATAGCTAGAAAAGAAACTGGGAGAGGCTGGTTTATTAGGAGACTGGGAGAGAGGAAAATAATCTGCTGTATCCCTCACCCCAACCTTCTCCTGGCAGGAAAGTTTTCTCACCAAGTCATGCACAAATGAATTAGGCAGCTATCCTGAGGGTAAATTCAGCAGTACCAATAGGAAGGTGACCACTATCTTCTCGTTCATTATTTTAACCCATATTTATTGGAGACTGGCTTTGGCACGCCCTGCGAATACAACAGTTATTCCCTTCTTAAAGGCTGCACTTCTTAAGCAAATACATATGTGGATTAAACACAAGGAATCCATACTGGCAATGTGAAACAGCTCCCTATGAAAGGTTAATTTCTCTGATTACCATCAATAGTAATAATTGCAACATTAAGTCATAATAATGCATAAGTTAGGAGAGCCTAAAGGTATTGAGACTGTACAAGATGCCAACTACGAGACTGAGAAAAATTTAACTTTCCTAAGAACGCGGAGATTTAATTTCTAATATTTGTGCCCATTTTACAGTTGAAGACACTGAGGTTCTGAAAGATTATATAATTGCTCAAGATAAGACAGTAAGTCATCAGCCAAAGAGAGGCTTGTGTCTATCTGAATCCAGAGCTCATGCCTGTAAGCCATCATTGCTACTGTTCCCTGAGACAGGACGGTGTCTCAACTGAGAAGATGTGGAGACAGTGGGACATCAAAGTGAAAGAACAGGCAAGCAGGAGGCCCCTGCCGAGTCAGGGGAAGCATGTAGTAAAAGAATGCTACCAGATATTGAAGACTAGTTGTGCCCACCTCTTGGGGTTGCCAGCGTTGGTCTTGATTACTTGTCACAAATGACACCCAAACCAACCCAATTTGGGAACGCTGAGAACACATGAAATTTGAAAAGGAAAAGGAAGAACCCCCAATGTATTCATTAAGTTTCAGTGATGTCAAAGAGCTATTCCTGCTGTAAGAGGTTAGGAGTAGCTCTTAGTCATGTCTGGCCGAGGCAAGGGTGGAAAGGGTCTGGGGAAGGGGGGCGTCAAGCGTCATCGTAAAGATCTCCGTGAGAACATCCAGGGCATCACCAAACCTGCTATCCACCGCCTCGCCCGGCGTGGTGGTGTGAAGCGTATTTCTGGTCTTATCTACGAGGAGACCCGCGGGGTGCTGCAGGTGTTCTTGGAGAATGTGATCCGCGACGCTGTCACCTACACCGAGCACGCCAAGCGCAAGACTGTCACCGCCATGGACGGGGTTTACGCGCTCAAACGCCAGGGACGCACTCTGTACGGTTTCGGCGGCTAAGTTTCATTGCGGTCTTCGGCTGTGAAGCTCTTGTTGACTCACAAAAGGCCCTTCTCAGGGCCACGAAAAAAAAAAAAAAAACCTATTCCTTCATACTGATAAAAGAATGATTCAGCACCCTTCTCCTAAAGGAAAATACTCTTGAATTCAAAAGCCGCGGGGATAAATTTAGGATTGGCCAGATCCCTACACACTTGTTTTTTCAAATGTCTGCCGATCCATGAGTTGATCCTTCGAGTGTGGTCCATTCAGCATGGCTGGCCAGCCTTCGGGTCCATCTCATCCATGAAAAACAGCTCAGGAAACATGGACCCATTCTTTCCCCGTAGCACCCAGCTGGTAGAATTTCCACCATTCTTTGTCAGTTTCCCGTATCCACTATTTTTCTTAAAAGGCAACTCACCGACTTTGTTTAGATGACCGTGCCAGGCAGGTCATCTGGACCTGGTCATCTGGACCCATGGTGTGCTCCAAGCTAATTTCAGAGCAAAGCTGTTGGGCTGCACCCCACAGACCTACAAGGCCTATGCTTGCCCAGCCTCAAGACCAAAGAACGAGCCCAGAGTGCGCGACAGAGACAAGGGGTATACAGACAGCAAGACAACAGCCATCTTGGGTGGCTTGACCATACACTGCAGCCCTACATACCCTGCACAACCCTTACATTCTTGGTCCGCATCTCTTCCTCAATATCCCTGGGGTCAGGCATGTAGAGGGGCACTGCAACCAGACACCACAAATACAATACAGACACCAGAAGCTAAAAAAGCACCAAGAGTAAGGTAGCTGGTATGCTAAGAACAGGACGTGGGCAAACCCTGGAGCCACGCACTTACCGGGTCGATGGAGAGGGCACCTATGGCCACAGCATCCTGTCCAGTTACAAGGAAGGCAAGGCCACCCCCATGGGGAAGGGAAGGCCCGGGCTCTACGAGAAACATTCTGGTGGCCAGGCCAGGGGTCAGCAGTCACAGTACAGGTCTGCTACCCCACGCTATGTACCATTAGGGGTGGGCCCATCAGGTCTTTCCAAAGAAAACACAGTTAATCCTAATAGTTGGACTTGTGTGTCCAGAAATCAGCCTATTCCAGTCCACACAGCCTAGCCCAGGGAGGCTCATGGGCAGTTAGCTGTACAGTATCGTTTACCCACGGGGGTCCACCTGATACGGAGACAGGAGGACGGGCAGGGTCCTTCCCCACCACTGTCGGTTGTGCCCACCTAGTCACATTAGCTGGGTCGAGTTTTCACAGAAGCCCGGAAGACGACGACAACAGCATCTCGCTGTAGACCCAGCAGTTTGACGCATTCCACACTGAAGCCACTGTTGCCCAGCCCAGGGCCTTTCTTATTGTAACAAGCACCAGCCAGCCCACAGCTGCAGCCGCCGCCCGACAGTCTAACTTCTACTTTCCCGTTGTAATGACGGCCAATATCTCCCCAACAGCCTTAGGGGTGTCTATGAGTTCTCCGAACCCTCTTGGCGGCCCCCCTTTATCAAGGAAGCCACCCCAGGGGGCCCCGTACTAGTGGACGGCCACCCCAGGATTTCCCCCGCAACTTTCAGGATCGCCCCTGGAAATTTTGGGCCCCCCATGTTAGTGGACGGCCGCCCCAGAAATACCCCCTGAAACCTGCAGGATTACACCCCCAACTTGGGGGCCCCCCATGCCAGTCGACGGCCAAGCAACATTCCATTCCCCCTCACCCGCTTCCTGAATTCGCGACATCTCAGCGCTCACAGGAGTTTCCTCGGTCTCCAGGCTGGCTCTGCCCACGGTCGTCGGGCTGCACCCCGCCAGCCTGCAAGGCCTGTGCTTTGCCCAGCTTCAAGACGGACGAAAGAGCGCGGAATCAGCGACAAAGACATCGGGGGAGCTTACCAGTCTGAAGCAAGGTCCTGGAGCGTGTGCTGCACAGGACGGAGAGGACATGGCGGCCGGCTTTGCTACCCGGGGGGGG